CTTTGGTTACTCTGCAGGTAATTAAGATGCTTTCTTCTTCACAAGACTGCCCTTACTGCCAGATCCTGTGTCGTGGTGAGCACCAGGAGACCAGGGCAGTCATGAGAGTAATGGGCAGGTGCAGGGAGGTGCGTGCATCTCCGGCTGGCTTGTCTGGCTTCTTATCTTTAGGTAAATCCTATTAGCTTCTTCCTTGAGCCGTTTCCTTCCAACGGAACTGAGCAAGTGAAGTTGGGAGCTGGTGTCCAGCTGGTCTAGTCCTGTATTCTTCCAGTATTTGCCCAGCACTTCTTTAGAAAACATCCTGGAAGAGCAGAGATGAAGAAGAGCCATGCTTGCCCCCAACTTGCCTGCGCCCCTCAGCCAAGCAGGTGCCGGGGCTGAACTGGGCACCCCGCTCCTTGGAAAGCCTGTCCCAGGCCACCTGGGCCCAAGCAAACAGTAGTCGCCTTCCTGAAATGAGTTCCGGTTAGTACAGCATTCTCACTCACCCCTTTAAAATGGTGGTAGAACACACGTAACATAAATGGTTACTGTCTTAATCATTTTAAGTGTACAGTTCAGTACACGTCGTGTAAGCACATTCACACTCTTGTGTCACCATCACCACCATCCGGCTCCAGCTTTGGTTTCTTCTCCTGAATGAAGCTCTAACCCATTAGACACTAACTGCGCTTCCTTCCTCCCTGCAGCCCCTGGTAATCTCGGTTCTGCGTCCGGTTTCTGGGGGTTTACGTAGAAGGAGAAGCCTACATACGGTATTTGTCCTTTTGTGAGTGGCTTATTTCACTTAGCGTGATGTCCTCTGGGTTTATCCATGTTGTATATATAACGTATATCTGAATTTTCTTCCTTTTTAAGGCTGACTCATAGCCCATTGTGTGTATGTACCACAGTTTATTTATCTACTCATCCATCAATGGACACTTGGGTGGTTTCCACCTTTTGGCCATTGTCAGAACGCTTCTGTGAGTATGGGTGTGCAAATATCTCTTTGAGACCCTGCTTTCAGTTTTCTTGGGTATATATTTCGAAGTGGAATGGCTGGGTCATATGGTAATTCTATTTTTAATTTTCGGAGGAACTGTGTTCTGTACTGTTCCATCCATAGTGCGGCCCCATTTTGCATTCCTACCAACAGTGCACATGGGTTCCAATTTCTTCCCAGCCTTGCCAACCCTTGCTTCTTCCTGTGCTTGAGAGAGTAGCCATCCAGGTGGTCTCCTTTGTAAAAAAACATTCAGCGGTCAGTTAAAGCAGCCCCTGTCGGTGTTGAGGAGAGTTCCCGGGAGCGTATTGCCAGGTGGGGCCATGACCCTGGTCATCATTTGTCAAGAATTATGGAACAGATGCCCTGCTTCCAAGAGGAGGCATTTTCAGATTTCCAAATAAGTTGTTCGATAGAGTGGGTAGCTAAAGATAATCAAAACAACTTTCGATTATTTGTGGTGGGAAAACTACGCCAGGCCAATCCCGTGGCATGCACGGAGGGACGATCCCAGGACCGGGAATCGGGAAGTCAGAGTCCAGCTCCATCTCTGTGAGGTGGGGAGTGCTGCCCGTCACTTCCCATTTCTGGCCTTCTTTCTCTGAAACGACGCTGTCGGACTAACAGCCCAGGGTCCTGCCACCTTCGAGATCTTCAGATTCTGCGCAATAACCTTGAGTTTGTTCACCGACGGGGGGAGGGATGCTTTATTGTGAGGACAAGAGAGCAGAGTGCCATTTCACTTGAATTATTAAAGATGCCCTTTCAGGCTTCATCTTGGGGCAGTCGGAGCTGGAATTGGATCTTGCGGGTCATCCAGGCCGACGTCCTCGTCTTACAGATGAGGGGCCGGGATGCAGACATGTGGTCACACCATCCAGTTACGAGCTTTCTCTTGGTTGCGACTACAAAGGTTGGCCGGCGGGTCCTCCGGGGCCGCGTGAGCAGCCGCAGAGGCGAGGGCATGGGTTCAGGCCTTGCTGCAGGAGACGGTTACCTGTGAGCGACCGGCGTGGCCCACAGCTGAGGGCCATGAAGTCGGGAGGGGGGCTGTGGAACCAAAACAGAGGTGGCTTCAGGCCCAGGCCTGTGCCCTTGGGCATTTGCTTCATTGCACTTTTGCTTGTCCTTAGTTCGTTGGTCTGAAAGGCCTCGTACCCACAGCGTTGTTGTGAATACCACTGGGGCACGAGGTCATGTGGAAGCAGTCGTACAAAAATGTTGTTCATACTGCTTGTGCTTAGCTGCAGGGTTAGAGGTTTACCCCTCTTGGTAAGCACCATATGTTAAAATCTACATCGAACACTGATGTGATGGTTTGTTTGTTTGTTTTTTTTGCAAAATGACTCCCTATAAGAAGTATCAGGGTTCCTGGCGCCTGGCTGGCTCAGACCGTAGAACCTGCCACGCTTGATCTTGGGGTCATGAGTTCAAGTCCCACGTTGGGCATAAAGCTTACTAACAAAAACCCCCAAAACAAAAAAAAGAGGTATCAGCGTTCCAAAGAACCTTTTTTTGCATTTTTCATCTCTTCAGGAACTGTCTCCTCTCCCGTTTTGCAAGAAGTTAATTAGCTTGCATGGCCACACAGACTTAGAAGTTGCGCGGTTTTCTGTTTTTGCGTCCGTGTGACTTGTGTCAGCGGTGGGAGCTCGACCACCCGGTGCCCGACTCCATCTAAGGGTGGCTGGCCTGTGTGCATCTCTGCTTGTGTTCATGGAGGGTCTGCTCGTCGCTCGTCTGAGGGAGGTGGGCACTCAATCCCCAGGGTGTCATTTAAAATTGTAAAATGAGCCACTGAGGGCTTTCTTGTGTTCTTTGTAGGTTTTGTCACTGCTTTTAGGGCTCTCGCCTCTTCTAACTTAGCCTCGACTCAGCGGTTCGTGTTTGCCCACGGCGTGCAGGGCTTTTGACCAACCACCTATAAACCTCAGTTTCCTTATTTCTAAAGTGGGGGTGCTAATATCACTTCTGCTTATGTTGCAGGGGTTGAGGTGAGGCTTATGAAAGGTAGTTTTTGGGGCGCCTGGGTGGCTCAGTTGTTAAGCATCTGCCTTCGGCTCAGGTCAGGATCCCAGGGTCCTGGGACTGAGCCCTGCGTCGGGCTTCTTGCTCCGTGGAAAGCCTGCTTCTCCCTCTCCCACTCCCCCTGCGTGTGTTCCCTCTCTCGCTGTGTCTCTCTCTGTCAAATGAATAAATAAAATCTTTAAAAGGAAAAAAAAAAAAAGAAAGGTAGTTTTTGGTTTTTTCAACTTGCAAAGACAAGGCTTGATCCTCGGCCTCAAGGACAATCTGGCTTTGCTGAGTGACAGGAAAACCACATGACAAAATAGAGACACATCCGAGCGAGGAAGTTCACAGAACCAAACTGTGCAGACAGGTCAGGGACAGGTGTGTATATGTAAGGTGGTGGTCGCTGGGATCATTGTAAGGGACCCGAAGTGGGTGGGGTCAGCATGGTCCCTTGCGCCCCCATGTAGGGTAGGTAGTCACTTTGAAGAATTGGGGCATGATGGTTGGAAGAGAGGGTGAGGTCTTGGGATCCAGCGATTGGAAGTCACAATGTGCGGACCTTTCATGCTTGGATGGTGGAAACTGAGGAGGCCACCAAAGTGTTAAGTGCACAGAGAGGAGAGGGGAGCAGCTGTGACTGGGCCAACGTGTGAGAGCAGCTAAGCTGGGGGCAGAAGGGCCCTGTGGGCTGGCAAGAAGGGAGCCCCAAGTGAGCTGCACCCTGAGGCAGGTGCCCCGAGTGAGGGCAGACACCTCTGAGGACAGGCACGTCCCAGGGCAGGGGGTGCCCAGGAGGAAGGCTGCAGGGTTGGCCCTTGTGGGCTGTGGGCCAGTCTGAGGTGTCCGAGTCCCATCTGGGCACGTGACAGGGCCAGACCATGGAACTGGAGGGTGGGCTCTGCCGAGGTGGGCAGTCGGGCAGGTGAGGACAGGCACCGAGGCGGCTATGGCAGCCAGAGCTGTGGAAAGAGGCCCAGAGCATGGCGCCAGCTCACTGAGGGTCCTCTGACCCCGAGCCTCTCTCCAACTGTCCCTCTGCCTCCATTTCCTCGTTACTGCCTCCTTTCAGGCTGGCGTCTTAGAAACATCTGGACCTCCCAGCGTGGCTCCAAGTCTCCATCCTTCCCTGCATCTTCTCTGTGGCAGGCATAGCCCCTCCGGCCGGCCTCCTGAGCACCTGTCCCTGCTGGTGTCTGCCCTCCTTCCCGGCCTTCTCCGCCTCCCTCTGCTCTGGCCCCTCCTGTTGACTTAAAACAGACAGAACAACACTGACATATATTTTAGTTTCCTGTGTTTACTTCTGTCTCCTTCATGAGCCTGTGAGTCCCTTCAGGGGATAGGGACTTTGTCTTTTTTATCTCCGTGTCGCCAGCACCAGGCTGGGTATAGAGTAGACGCCAGATGTTTGCTGACCGGACTTCAGTTGATTAGCCGGGCAGACCCACCGGAGCGGAGCCCACGCTTCCCCTGCAGCCGCCGTGGGGCAGAATCCGATTAGGCAGACCGACACCAGGATGGAAATTATTCCAAATAAAAAGTCAGCTTTTTTGCTTCTCGAGTAAAAAGAGTCATTTTTTCCCCCAACTAATATTATTGAATACCTCCTTGATTTGGCGTGGTGGGGGCTAGATCCTAAGAGGTATAAAGTACAGTCTGTTTTCTCAAGAGTCTTAAGATGTAGCCGTAGAACCTGCAGATAACGACAGAGCCGGGCACAGCTGGCAAGGGCCATCAGGGTGCTGTGAGCAGGTGCCGGCACCCCAGCGGGGAGGAGCCCTGTGCTCTCTGAGATGAGGCTTCCCGGGGTCGGCAGGGTGGAGGTTGGCGGGCTTGCTGACTGGGTGGGGGTAGATGGGCTGTGGGGGCGGGTGTCATGGAGCCCGTTCCAGTGGAGCAGAATGCAGTTGAGCTAGTGTAATGATGACGAGCTCATCTGGACTGGCTCCAGGTAGATGCCTTCTCTGAATTAACCGATCGTGGGTCTGTCTCTGTTTTCTAGACTCAAACCATGAATTACGTGGGGCAGTTGGCGGGCCAGGTGTTTGTCACCGTGAAGGAACTCTACAAGGGGCTGAACCCTGCCACCCTGTCCGGATGTATTGATATCATCGTTGTCCGCCAGCCCAACGGGAGCCTGCAGTGCTCCCCTTTCCACGTGCGCTTTGGGAAGATGGGGGTCCTGCGTTCCCGAGAGAAAGTGGTAAGAGCATAGGACCCGGTGACCTGGCGGGGGGGCAGGTTCCCTCTTTAGAGAAAATCATCGTGTTTCTGTCTTTGAAGATTTTATTTATTTATTTGACAGAGAGAGACACAGCGAGAGAGGGAACACAAGCAGGGGGAGTGGGAGAGGGAGAAGCAGGCTTCCCGCAGAGCGGGGAGCCCGATGCGGGGCTCGATCCCAGGACCCTGAGATCATGACCTCAGCCGAAGGCAGGCGCTTAACTGACTGAGCCACCCAGGTTCCCCTCGTGTTTCTGTCTTTAGACAGAGCTTTAGGCCTCCTTTAGGAGCTGAGGCTTCACACTGGACAGGTCTGGTCACTGAATTGACAAGTACTAACTTGAAGTTAAATTATTCCAAAACATAGGGGCAAAAATCAACTACTTACTAAGCTCACGGGTTGTGTGAGTCAGAAATTCAGACCAAGTGCAGCAGGGCTAGTTTTTCTCTGCCCTCTGCCATCTGGAGCCTCAGCTGGAAGACCCACTCTAAAGAGGTGCTCACTTGCACGGCCGGGGGCTCCTGGCTGGGCTCTCCACCGAGGCTGTTGGCCAGGACGCCTACACATGGCCTCTGCATGTGGCCTGGGTGGCCGCCCAACATGGCAGCCAGATACAGGGTGAGCCTCTCCAGAGGAAAGGAGCCGCGGAAGTTCACAGAGCCTCTCCTGCAGCGCTCTGCTGGCTGGGGCAATCGCAAGCTTCCCCGAGCACGGGGTCGGGGGTGGGAGCAAGGAGACTCCATTTCTGATGGGTTGATTGATTGGGATGTGGAATTGTGAGATCATCTTGGGATATATGTGATTAAAGGATGCCTATGTAAAGACATAGCATCCCCCGTGAGGTTTCCTGTTTTAGTGAGGTGTGTTTTTCCTTCAGGTTGACATAGAAATCAACGGGGAATCTGTGGATTTGCACATGAAATTGGGAGATAATGGAGAAGCATTTTTTGTTCAAGAGACGGATAATGATCAGGTAAGGAAGGCTGTGGGCGGTCACTGTGACTTCCTAGTTTTGAATTTTGAGCAATGCTCATGTAGAGGGCCCAGCGAAGTGTGTGTCTCGGAGAAGTAACACTGGTGCTGGGTGATGGAGACCATCGCAGCAGAGAAGTGTGGCTGTTGATCTGTACCAGGGATCTGTGAGCCCGACAGGGTGGGTGTGAGCTGTGTCCACACAAGACTCAGCAGTCCTGGCCTGCTTCTGCGTGCTCACTGTTTCCAAGGCGACAGGAACCGAATCACATCCGAGCTGTTGTCTGAAGCATACGGGTTATACTGGTGTGTTGAATCTCAGAGGGCTTAGTGTTCTAGTTTTTGTGCAGTGAGTGACCAAATCACTTTCATTTTTTTATTACTTAAAAAATTTTTAACAGCTCTATAAAGATAGAGCTTCTGTACCATACAGTTTCTCTGTTTCAAGTATACAGTTCGGTGGTTTTCAGTCTTCTAAGGTATGTCGCCACAGTCAATTTTAGGACATTTTCATCCCCCCAAAAAGAAACCCGGTGCCCTGTAGCTTATCACTTACCTATCTCCAAGCCCCCACCCCGTCACCTTCCTGTGACCACTCTTTTACTTTCTGTTTCTCTAGATTTCCCTGTTCTGAACTTTCACACAAATGCAGTCCTAAGTATGTTGTCATTTACGCCTGGCTTCCTTCACTTCTCCTAATGTCATCAGGGCTCACCCATACCGTAGCCGGGCTCAGGATTTCATCCCTTTGTAGGGCTGAGTCATCGCCCGTGGTATCCGCAACCACATTTTTTACCCTTTTGTGGGTTCGTGGACATTTGGGTTGTGTCTGCCTTTTGTAAGCCACTGGGGATAATGCCGCTGTGAGCATTCACTCTTTCCTTCTTTGAGAAAGCCACGTGGAAGGGATCCTGTGTTGTATTCCTCACGAAAATCCGCTTCGACTAGTTGCTTTATGGGAAGATAGCGTGATTCAAAAGGAACAGCTCTAAATGGCTCCGGGCTCGAAAATGAACGCCCATAGTTTCAGTTTCAGAGTAAAACTGTCCCAGGTTCTTCTTTTTGGTGTCCCCAAAGGTGTGACATAACAGGAGGACCAGCATGCTCATCCTGTGCCCCCATCTTCTGTAATTACCCCTCCTGTAGTTACTTCCCTATTTAAAGGGAAGGTTCTGAGAATCGTTCATTCACGATTATTAATTCTTTCCATCTCAAATGGATACTTGCCTTTTAAATTTCTGTTGTCCCTTAGCTGTGGACGGATTTTACACTGTGGGAGTTGAAGAAGTGTTTTGGGCGAGGCCTCCATGGAAGCTGCAGGGTCTTGGGCCTGCTCCGCTGGCCTTAAGGGTGCCTGTGGGTGGGATGGGGCTTCGGAGTCCAGAGTATGTTCTGCCCCTTACAGAAGCCCCTGGCTACCCCTGGAAGGCTGCTGGAAGTTGGGGAAGCCTGTGTCCCTCATCACCAGATTGCCCCAGGATGGAGTCCCCCTCCGTTTGTGGAGGTCTGTCCCTTCCCTATCCAGCCTGGACCCTCGTTGGCTCTTAACCCCATGTCAGCACTGTAGGCTTTTCTTCTTCGTTTGGCCCGTTGAGCAGCTGGGCAAGATGACCTCTCACCACTCAGCCTAAGGCTTGGTCTTTCAGATGTTCGTTGTATACCTGCAGCACCTTGGGTGTTCTCGAAACCACTGTAAAGGGTCAGCAGTGGGTTTCTGTTTCTCTCTTCTCCTTTGTATATATTCTTTACTTCTTGTTACCAAGTGGCTCATAATAAATAAGTCATTAATAAAATGTTATAGTTTTTAAAAAACTGGTAAATCATTATTAAATAACTTAAATGAACAGGCCATGTATTTTTTCCTTTTTAAGAAGAGAGTCAGGATCTAATTATTAAACGGCCGTATACCTGGATGCCCTCTGGTGTAGGCAGGCATTTGTGATGGAGGGCTGTCAGCTGTATTTTTGTTTTTAATTACTGTCATCTTAATTCAGTGCATATTAAAGAACGCATACACATTCTCTTTTACATGCAGTCACATGCACGCGCACACACATACACACACCCACGCACCCCACCACACACACTCTCCCTCCTCACACCTACCCACCCCCACACTGAAATGCAAATTGAGTCCAGTTCCCAGGTAATGTGATGACTCAAAGCTCATTTCCCTCTTTACTTTGGATAAGTCAAACAAAGTTGACTTTGGGTGGCCTGAAATCACTCATGACCTCGCTTTGTTACAATTATGAAAATGCAGGATTCAGTACAAAATGGCACTGCATGCGTTGTTGACTTCGTGGTCGGCTGTCCAATCTGGCACTGTGCCTCCAGCCATGGCGGCTGTGACCGTTAGTCCCCCTGCCCCGCGTGGCCCTCCCCAAGGGCGCTCGCGCTCCTAAAGGACCATCGGCCGGCCTTTGGCACCCCCCTGCTCCTTAAACCCAAACTAGCGAGACTCTTTGAAAACTATTTTCTGTCCTTTAGGAAGTGATCCCCATGTACCTGGCCACCTCCCCTATCCTGTCGGAGGGAGCCTCGCGCATGGAGTGTCAGCTGAAAAGGAGCTCTGTGGACAGGATCAGAAACCTGGACCCCAGCGCATCAGTCCAGGCCTTACCTCCCAGTGAGGCCCCTTCGAGCGGCTCTTTAGTGAAGAAGAGGAGGAAGAGGAGGAGAAAGTCCCAGCTGGACACCCTGAAAAGAGACGACAACATGAACACATCTGAAGATGAGGACATGTTTCCCATAGAGATGAGCTCGGACGACCAGGCCGACCCGCTGGACGACAGTAGGTAAATGTGCATGAAAGGCAAGATCTGTGTCGGGGTGCATTCATTCTTTGAGATGATTCTTACAAACTCTTTCCTCCCTCCCGCCCCAGTATTCCCTCTTCTTCTTTTTTTTTAAATCTTATTTATTAGAGAGAGCGAGCAAGAGCAGGAGCTGGTGGGAGGGGCAGAGGGAGAAGGAGAGGGAGAAGCAGACTCCCCGTTGAGCAGGGAGCCCGATGTGGGACTTGATCCCAGGACCCGGGATCACGACCTGAGCTGAAGGCAGACACTTAACCGACTGAGCCCCCCAGGTGCTCCACTATTTCTTATTCTTATGTGAGTGCATTTTAGACTGAGTTTTAGAACTCTGTGGACCCAACCTCAAGGAGCATAAAGATCTGAGGTAGCTTACAACTACAAGGCAGTTGGTAGTACCGGACCTCCTCGTCTGGTTGCTTCAGCATCCAGGACAGAACCAAGGGACAGAGAAGTGAGCAAACTAATACTTCATGCACTAAACTGTTGTTTCAGAGCCTGCTTGCTCTTATTTGGGCCCCGACTGTGGACCTGGCCATTGGGCTGATGTGTGGCTGGGGACTGATCTGTGACAGCCTTCAGGTTACAAGTACATGTGCAACGTGACCAGTTTTTTCTCCAAGCAGACTTTTCCTTTTCAGTTTTGACTAGGCCTGAGGTTTCATGGTCGTCTTGCTCAACTTTTCTTTGCTTTTAACAGGGTGGTGAAATTTGGTTTCTGTGTATTACTGTTTTAGTGAAAATGGCCAGTTTTAAAAGACAAAACTCATTTGTAAAGTATACTTGATATTTCAGATCTTTATGTAATTCAGTATAATTTTTCTTTTTTTTTTAGAGGGGGGTGGAGGGGCAGAGGGAGAGAGAATCTCAAGCAGACGTCCTGCTGAGCACAGCGCCTGATGCAGGGCTCGATCTCACGACCCTGAGATCAGGACCTGAGCCGAAGTCAAGAGTCGGGTGCTTAACGACATGAGCCACCCAGGCACCCCTAAAATTCAGTATAATTTCTGATAATTATTTTTGTATCTTGTTAACATAAAGAAGGGATAACGAACATCAAGAGTATCCCTCTGCTTCATTATCCAAAATAGGATTTATCCCCCACTTGGCTAAAAATACAGGCAAATTGGCAATGTCACTTTTCCTAACTATAGCCTCTAATCAGCTGTAGGCTCAGAAACTGGTGGTTGGGCTTATTATAGTTGCCATCCCTGCGTGGCTTTTAATTCCAGAACTTAGTGTTGGATATTTCAGGGAACATCAAAAGTATGGGTAGATGGCCTCTGTGTGACTGAAAGAGCGAATCGTATTTTTTTAATGGATGCTTGCTACCTGAAATGAGGTAGCTTTGCAGTCATTTTGTAATTATAAGATTCATTTGGTTTATATCATTTATTTATTCTGCCAGATGAAGCATGGTCTGTGTGTGATCATTCAGTTACTCGTAAGGCAGCCTCACCCGTGGACAGTAAGACTTTTCAGCCTCCTGGGCCCAGTTTCGGGGCTGCAGGATCACCATTGTGCATGTCTATCAGCCCAGAGGCTTGAATACAGTCATTTTACGTTTATAATCCAGCCAAAGCATGAACACATTTTTGTGTGTCTTTGTCTCATGTTTTTCCTCTCCACTGCCTGCAATGTGTGTGGGTGGGTCAGAAAGAGATCATGTTCATCTACAATGAACTTAGATAATCAAATAAAAGGGAGACTTGCCTTTACTGTGAAACTATCACTAATGATCACTAATAGTTCTTTGATGTTAGTCTTTTTTTTTTGTTTTGTTTTCCCTCCAGGACTCTTCCTAGTGATACACCTGCATTCCAAGAAGATGTTTGTAAAGAAAGCCCTTCCCCGATCATGACTTACCCTCAGTCAGCATCGTACCCTAATTCTGATAGAGAGTGGTCACCCAGCGCCAGGTAAGTTGCCGGGGGAAGTGTGTGCGTTTGTTCACCCTGGTCCCGAGGATTTAAGGTCAGTGACAGGGAGCGTGTCTAATAAAATAGTGAAATATAAGTAAAAAGTGAAACAATGCAGTTTAGAGTAGGAAGTACCGATCAGGATTGAAAGAGGCCATGCGCAGGCCATAAACTTCTGATATCATACTCAGGCTGCACATCTGGCTCTTCACCCCCCGCAGGCGACCTTGAAAGCAAAACCACTCTGGTTCCTCAGGGCTAATTGTCAGAAGGAGAGAACAGGTGGCCTAGCCTTTTTTGACACTTAGCCCTCAAGTATGATTCAGGAGCCACCAAGGTGGTTCTGGGCTGTTAGAATGATGCCTTTGCCCCATGCTTAACCCCTTCTGCTGAAATCAGGAATATTTTGTATAACTCTGATGTTGCCCTAGAATTGGGTATAAACTTGGGAGAACCAGACCTGCTCAGGCGACGGATTGCCATCCCGAAGACCCCAGAGACTTGTAGTCAGTGAGACCTCTGAGAATATGTGAGCCCTTCAGAGCCCTTCTCAGAAGGACTGGGGCGGGGACAGATCTAAACTGAGTGTCCTCAGCAGGGACCGTATCACCCCCATTGGGACAAAAATTAGTTCTTGGGCAACAAAGAATTCTTAGATATTATAATGGCTTGTGGCCTCCACGGGGCCTCACACATAAGCAGATTCAGAGTCCATCTGTGGTGTTCAAGTTTCATGGTGGAGAGAGGACCACAGCAGGGTGGGGCGGGGGGAAGCCTCAGCTGTCCAGAGGTGCGCTAACAATGAAAGAGGTTGAGAAACACCGATCTTAGTGACAGGGACGTCCTTGGATTCTTCTTCTTCTTCTTCTTTTTTTTTTTTTAAGATTTTATTTTATTTATTTGAGAGAGAGAGAGAGAGAACAATGAATGAGCAGTGGGGGGGGGGCAGAGGGAGAGGGAGAAGCAGGCTCCCAGAGGAGCAGGGAACCCGATGTAGGGCTCGATCCCAGGACCCCCAGATCATGACCTGAGCTGAAGGCAGATGCTTGACCGACTGAGCCTCCCAGGCGCCCCAACGTTGGATCATTCTTGTTCCTCATGTTTTAGATGTACTTGTGGTTTGCAGTGGAAGTGTAGGAACCCTGCTGCAGAGGCTCCCTGCCTAAAGCCAGGGTCTTCCCAACACCACTCCTCGTTCCAGTTTCACCAGAGTGATCTCGCCAGTAGGACAGCACAGTGAGCAGCGTGTGCTGGAGCCCGAGCCCGAGTCTGAGAGAACTATATGGGTCCCGTGCCTGGTTCCAGCCAGGACCAGGAGAGCGAGTGTTAGTCCGCCAGGGTGGGGCTGGGGGCCTGGCAGATGTCCTCGTGGAGGTCTGTCTGCAGACCCGCCCCATGTAACAGAAACAGAATGCTGGCTACCTAGGACATTTACAGTCTTGTAGCAGCCAGCCTTAGAGGGTAAAAAGAAACTAAAAAAGTTAACTTTGATGATGGAGTTCCTTTGACCCAGCATATCCAAAATATCATCAAGTCGTTTTCACGAAGTTCTTAATGAGATATTTCACGTTCTTGTTTTCATACTAAGTCTTTGAGATCATTGTGTATGTCACGTGTAAGGACCACCCCGGTTTGGACATGTCACACTTCACGTGCTCGATAGCCACATGCCGCTGGTGGCTGTCATAATGGACAGTGCAGATACTAGGCCTTTCTGGAACCTCCCACATCGTCTCCCTAGGTCTGTGGAAATGCACCCTAAGGAGGGAAAAAGATGGTACTTTAGGAAGAAAATTACGTGGGATGGTTAAAAACCAGTATTAGGTTGAAAAATCTGTTCAAACACTCTACATTAATTTTAAGAGTTTCAAATAAATGTTTAAAACACAACCCTGGATATGTTCCCCTGTCTTTCATGATTTGCTGTATGAATCCAGAATAGCGACTCTGTCACATCGTGTGGGTCTGGCTGCTGTCAAGTGCAATGACAAATTAGGATAAATAGATACATTTCCATACTTGGAATTATGTATTTTCTTTAAAGAGACAACTGGCAGCAGAAACGATCAATTCTTTGGAGAATGTAGTTTGATTAAGCACTAAATTCTGACCAGGGAACAACAATCTTTTATGGCCATATGGATGAAATAGAAAGTGAAATGAGTCTTTTGGCAGTTTCCTGTTCTTATGGTTCAAAAAAATTCATGTTGATTTCTGAGTGATTTCAACAGAGAGTGTTCTGCTGCTGTCAGATGCTTAACTATGTTCATTTTCTTACAAATGCTTTTGTGGAGAGTAGTCAAAGAATTTGTATGAAGTTCAATTTAATTGACCTATGATTTTTCTTTCCTTTAATGTATATCACGTGGTATCCTGTAGCCCAATAGATTGCCAAAGGACTGCCCCCTGCTTGGCGGTTGCGGCCGAGGGAGGCCTTTCTAGCTCTTGCCCTCCACAGTCTTCCTACTTCCATGCTTCGGAAAGGTAGAGGGGCTCTTTTCCCCACTTGGGTGTCTTCAATAATAAAAACTATGATCTAACTCTTACAAGTCTGTTTACCATTGACCAAATTACTTACGTGGAAAACACACAGAGACTGTATAAGTGAAACCTTTGATCTAACCCTTACAAATCTACTTGACTAACCAAATTACTTATGAAGGAAATACATAGAGATGATTATTTGCCTTTGATTTTAAGCATTTGTAGATTATTAGATCTTTTTTTTCCACGACTAAATTTGATTCTCTGGAAATTATTATGGCTAAGTATATAGTTCTTCCTAATTTTGTGGAGTGCTTTGCAAAACAGAATAATGAAATAAAAATTGGTAATATGATTTTTGCTTTGTGTCTAGGGTTGTTCAACATATAAGTTTATAAGATCTTTCGTATAAGGGGAGTTATTATAGCTCTTTAATTAGCTTCTTAGACTGTCTGAATAATGGAATCCTGTTGCTCCAGCATTTCTAGAATGGAATTTTGGGGCGTAGCCTAGGGTGGATCTTAAGGTTTAGGGTCATAAGTTTATATTTTCCTCTGAGGTTCCTGCCTCCATTCCCTCCATGTCGTCCACACTCCCAGGCTACGTGATGGACGTACATGGTTTATAAACTTTAACAAATGAAGCTCTGATTGACTTCTACATGGGAAACTGTTTTTCTTTTTGATTGAAGAGCCAACTTTCAGGATGTGCTTCATTTGGAGGTTACACGTATAGAGGAAAGGCCATTTTGAAAGGAGGTAAACTAAGCTGTGAACAGTTAAAACTAACTTGCCTAAGTGGGGCTGGCAAACTCCTGAAAACTATTACGTGGTTAATAAATGCATTATTTATGAAAACCAGTCATGGACCTTGTGAGCTTACTTTTTTGAACAACCCTTGACCTTAAAAGTCTAGTATTTGATAATGGGAAACTTTGGGACCACCATCTTTCTCCTGAATCACACCCAGTACTGGGAGACCTTTCCCTGACTCACCTACTGTCAGTCTGAATTCTGCAGAACGTTGCGTGTGTATTTGCGTACAGAATCCTTTTGACAAAGGCTGGTGTTGTCCACATGCTGCCATTTATCCCGGTGGCGTATCAGGCCCGAGAGGTGGGACTCCGAGCTCGTGACTTCCACACAGGGCTCATTTCTCTATGAATGAGTTTGCAAACCTGAATACCTCTGTGGAAACTTAGGGCTTGTGGTGTTTGTGCAAGGATCGGGATAGCAGGTGTTCTGGAGTTGGCGCCGCAAGAGACCTGTGTTCAGCCTTCGCCTTCTTCTAGAGCAAGGGTTGGCTAGCTACAGCCGGTGGGCCAACTGTGATTTTATGGAACTACAGCCAGTTTGTTCACGTATCGTCTATGGCTGCTTTTGTGCTACTGTGGCAGAATTGTGCATTTCTGACAAAGATCGCATGACCCACAAAGCTTGACGTATTCAGTCTCTGGCCTTTTACAGACATAGTTTGCTGACCCCCCCGCTCCAGAAAAGCTCTAAAGGGCTTTACTGACTTTAGTGCAGAGGGTAAGACAATTCATTGTTCCACAAAATATAAATTATCTTTTACGTGGTAAAATATAACAGCAGGAGCTTTTTAAACCAGTGATTTGAGGTTTGGGTGCAATGCTGTTGAGGATAGGAAGCCAATGACAGTGGACTTTTTCTGCGATGACTCTGGAGAAAAAGTGGATTCAGGTCACGGTTGTGGACACGCCAGTGCCAGGAAAGCAGTGACCCTCCTGTAATTGTGCAGGGCTAGAAGGAGCAAAGGAGGTTGGGAGGCGATGAACACTTTACCACCTAGACGTATGGGGCGCTCAGTCTTCCTCCCATGGGACCACTTCCCATAGGGCGGAACAGCATGTGTGTGCGTGTTTATGTGTTGGGAGAGGTTTCCCACCGTATACACCTCCACAATACGCTGTCCCAGGGTCCTCCTGTCCACACATGGAGAAATAGAGCGTGAGGGCCGCACTGTAGCCATGTACCATGGGGCTGGTTGGGTGGGCCATGGGCACCACGGGCGATGAACCAGCCTCTGAGCACCTTGGTGTGAAATGGAGGAGGGAGAGAGAGCGGTCAGTCTCTTTGGTCCAAATGGCTGGACCGAAGAGATCTGGGCCCGGTTTAGCCAGCCATTCAGGGTCCCTATTGGTTTCATCTCTGACTGCTCCTTGTCCTGACAGGAAGCTATGTTCAGCTGGAGTTGAAATCTAACTCAGGCAGGTCTGTGAGGCCAAGCACGACGGTGAGCGGGAACCCAGGAGAGTGTGAGGTCTGTGGAAGGGGGTGCGAGAGGAAAACATGGCGGCTTTGTCCCCCGCGTCATGTAACACCGTTGTCTTACTCTGGGGAAAAGGACGCGAGAGAGTAAAGGCAGGGAGAGATTAAATGGATGTATTTTCTCATCCAGATGTTGTTTAGGAGACTGTGAGAAGTTTGTAGACAAGCTGATTACTCTTGGCTGGTCACTCTGGCTGGACAGAGGGAAAACTTCGTTCAGGTCTAAAGAGTAGAAATAGGGAATGTGGAGAGAGAACACAAGTTACAGCCACTTAAAAGCTGGCCTGAGAGTTAAGCCCCATGATACGTTGTTACAGAACAAGCCTTAGCCAACAGGTGGATCAGGTGGATCTTTGAAGTATTCCTGGAAGATAGAGTATTTAATGAAATCTCAACATAGAGGCTCCTGCCACGTTAGGGAGTTTGAGTTTATTCTTGGCATCTGGAATTTGCAGCAAAATTGGCACGTGATGCACGTTCCCTGTTTTTGAAGCCAGGGCAGATTCATAAATATTTTAAAAATAGAATATAATGGGTGTGTGTCTGAGATAGGCAGGACTCCCTTATGCAGCTGGGAGCTGACAAGCTCGGTTTGGAAGTTGAGAATGCAGGAGAGGGGAGCTCAGGGTGAGGTGGGGAGAGATGGGTGGTTTGGAGATGAGAACAAACTTTTTTTTCCCTTTCTACTTTCATCTCTCTTTTCCTTAATTTTCCTTTCAACGTGCCTCTTCTCAACTTTACCTGGAACTGGGGGGCAGGTTGGGATAGGTTACCCAAATCGGGAGCTCCTTGCACCTGGCGCTGTGTTCTGTGGACCCCTAGTGGCCACAGAGGGGAATGTCATGAAGCTTGTGTGCATTTTCTGGGCTGTTTGAACCATAGAATTCTGGACCAAAAAACATCTTTAAAAGTTTCCCTTTCCAGTTTAATCATGGATTTGTGTTTTTCTTAAGTCCTTCAGGTTCTCGACCTTCAACACCTAAAAGCGATTCAGAATTGGTCAGTAAGGCCACCGATAGGACGATGCAGAAGAATAACCTAGAAATGCTTTGGCTTTGGGGAGAATTGCCACAAGCAGCAAAGGTAAGTTTTTTTCCCCCTTCAATCCTGCTATACATCGAAGATAGTTTCTAAAAACATGAAATGGGCACAATCTTTTCTTTCACAAAATTTTGTTTCATATTCCAGTCTATCAAAAGAATCTTGAATATATTACTATAAAAATTTTTTCTAACATCGTAAAGCTTCTAGAAGATGCTCCAACTTCTTGTATCCCCAGTAAATATTTGTAATATGAATGAATGAATGAGTCAACATTGAAAGCATTCCTATTAAGAATCCCAATGGGCAACTCTGTGGAGGGAAGATCTGTTGAGGTAGAGTTGTGGACTCTTTCCTTTTCTGGGTTATATTTAGCTTTCATGGACAACGCTGATTTCTCCGCCCACAAGCTATAGTGCTGACCCAGCCAGCCATCTTTACAAGCTCATGTCATTTGTTGCTGGAGAAATGGCATGGAAGTGAAAGTGCTAACCCATCACTTCTTCTGGCAAAACGCTTCCAACCACAGACGGGCCGTAGCATTGTTTTCATTGTGCTAGAGCCGTGAGATCGAATACAGGAACGAATACCCTCCCTCTCCTGTCCAACCCCAGAAATTGCATTTTGGTTTTTGTTTGGATAAATCTTTTCCCTAACTGGACACTCCTTGGAGAAGTAGAATCAGGAATGCTAATTTCCGACTTACGTGGGAAACCACTTATTCACTTAGTTTTGGGGGTAAACTTTATTAAAACATAGCATGTGTACAGAAAAATGCCTGGATCGTCAGTGCACAGATTGGAACATTTTCACGCTGTGAATGTGTCCGCGGGACTTGCACCCAGAGAGAAGCAGGGCTTAGTCAGCCACTCGGAAGCCCCACCCTTTGCAGGTACCGCTCAAACGGCCCCCCCGCCCCCGCGAAAGGATAAACGTCCTCCTGCCTCTCACAGCAGAGGTGAGCTTGGCAACCTTCATCATGCTATTGTGTGTAATTGTAATTCACTTGTCATTGCTGCGAACTACCCATCCTGTGAATAACTTCCCGTTCTATGGATGGACATTGAGTACTTGAGCTACTTCTGTTTGTTGGCCTTTACCGATCCCACTTCATTCTCTTTGGCAGTTGATGTTTTATATGAAAGTTCATTTGCTTTGGAACTGGTATTCTGCTCTTTAGATTCTTTTGGCAGAAGGGAAATCACCGGGTGACTCCTGAGGCTTAACTGTCTCTCTGCGAAATGGGCAGACAGTTGTGCAGACTGTTAATGGGTTAACTGTTTTTCTTCGGTTAACACCTTTTTTCTCTTCGCCCACGCTCTGACCATTCTGTCTGTCTGTCTGTCTGTCTCTGCCCCTTCGACATAGTCCTCTCCACACAAGATGAAAGACTGCAGCCCGTTAAACAGTAGAAAAATCAGTGATAAGATGCACTTTCAGACCATCCAGAGTGAGTCTTCAGATGCGTTTAGTGACCAGTCGCCAACCCTGGCCAGGCCTCCCGTGATGCCCGTTCCAGAGTCGGGCAAGCCTCCCATGGAGATGCAGTTTGTGAACGAAGAAGATGTCGAGGCCTTGGGGGCGGCAGCCCCGCCTTTATCTACGATCGAAGAACCCAAACCCCTCTCTGCCAGCGTAGCCCCGACGGCAAGCAAGACAGATTCTCCTTCGAGGAAAAAAGGTGGGAAGGCCCGTGCGCCCTAGCTCCCTTCTGTGCAGACTTGGTGCTCTGCACATTCTCGATCCTTCCCTTGGAGGTCCCTAGTGCATCAAGGGGGAAGCTGGACCAGGACAGCTTTCCGCGGAAGATATTAGCAGAATTTAGTTACAGAATCAGACCGAAGGAACCCTTGGGGCGGGTGTCACGAGCCCCCTCACTTTCGAGATCCGGGCGCTAGGATCCAGAGGCATGAAGTCTTTTTCACCCACTTGGGGCTCCAGAGGAAGTTGATTATTGAGCTAATCCTGGTCTCCTCGCCCCCTGCCCCCAGTTTCTGTCTAGCACGTTGCCCAGTTTTAATTTCTGCATGCTGCATATCACTGTTTTGGGGGATCACTTGTTTATATAT